TTTTTTTTTTTTTTTTTTGAGTATTGTTTAGATTTTATTATCCTATAATTAAGTGCCATCTTAAGGAGAGGACTTAGGTGTGAGCTGTCTTGTTGTTCGTGCATTTTCCTGCAGCAGTCTCCTTTCCCTTCTGGTTTATGACCGTTCTTTTCAGGGGTTTGGAAAAATCAGATGATCTAGCTTATTAGACCTCTAAATTCAGCCAATAGGCTACTTGGAATAGGATTTCCGAGATGTTTTCTGGTGGGAGGAAGAGCCATATCTTAGTACAGAGATAATGCATTTAATTTTGTCTTTTGAACAATCATTGTTTCTAGCCCTCGTTCTAGCTATTTGGGGTTGTCAAATTGTTAGTATATTTAATATGAAAATAATCCACTTTCATTTTTAAAGTTAGGTGCTTATTTAATAAGCTTGGTGCTCATTTAATAGATACATAAATGTACCTTTTGTTGCAAAATGAGGTGTTTGCCTTATTGCTTTTATCTATCAGAAACTATGAAGTGTCACTACCAATTAAATTTGAAATGCTTTTTAACCTTTTTTATGGCTCACTAGGCTGAACCAACTATTACTAAATTTTCTTGTAGTTACGAGTTGACTATTGTATTAGAACTATAATTTCCCAATAATAAAAACTTTCAACATCAAATTTAATTTTATTTCTCTCTCTTTTAGGTAAAGAGTCATGTATACCAAGGTAAATATTTAGGCTGGTTTTGTTATTTGTACTGTTTCCTCATTACTGGTTTTGATGTGAGTTTTACAAGCTAGAAGTAGATATAGTGACCCCTGATGTCTGATTGACTTATTAACTCCTGAACATCTCACTAACCCTGTTTGCTAGCTTAGATGACAGATTAGATGGCAATGCTCCCCACTGAGATAGGGGATGTGGTGGAACAAACTGTGGGAGGAGGGAGAAGATGATTGATTTGATGTGGGGCAGATTGACTAAATGTTGATGTAATATAGATTTATTTCATGTGAACGGTGTTCCTGTGCTAATGGTTTAATCAATACAGTATATATATTTAAGTAGATAATTTGAGGAATAAGAGATGCAAATCAATATGCCTTACTTTCTGTCTGTTTCTCTTCCCAAGTGATGTATATTTGAAATGATCCCAGTTTCTGCAAAGAAAGGTGCTTCATGAAAGAAAGGATGTCAAGCTAAAATATTTTACTGTATTTCCTATCTCTGAAATAATTTTAATTGAAATAAAGGCTCTTATTATATTTTTCTTAAATTTTAATATTGTTACACCTTTATAGCTCATAACTACAGATTGCTTTTTAAAGGCTGATCGTTGTGCTAAGAAGTTCTTTTCCCTCGTAGTGCAAGATAACATGTCTTGGTTGCTAGTACATTGATTGGGTAATTGCATTTTATCTAGTAATCATAATCACATTATGGATTTCCACCCCTTTTTAGTCACTGAACAGCAAATTTCTGAGAAGTTGCAGATGCTCAAGAAAGAAAATGCAGACCTTGCACAAAAATTGTCAAATTATGAACAGAAGGTATAAATCTTTTAGTTTTCCCTCCATGGTTCCCGCTTGAATTATTTCCTACCTCCTGTCTTATAGTTAGCATGCTGTTTTTAAATCATATTTTAAAATTCCATTATTTCCTCTAAACCTTCCAAGTTTGAAGCAGTCATCCTATGTGTGAAGTACTACTTTCTTTTCTAAGGGATCACCTAATGGGGAAAGTGTTGATAGCACTCTAATTCATATTTCTGTATTGTGAATGCCTTACTTAAACAGATCAAGGAATCAAAGAAACATGTTCAAGAAACCAAAAAAAAAAATATGATTCTCTCTGATGAAGCAGTGAAATATAAGGTAAAACCCCTGATCATTTTGAGATTACATTCTGTAGACAAAAGGAAAATACTGAGTAGTTACTATTAATCTTGGTATCTTTTTTCTATAGGATAAAATCAAGGAACTGGAAGAAGTGAAGGAAAATCTGAATGATACGGCTAACAACCTGCGTCTTATGTTAGAATCTGAGAGAGAACAGAATGCCAAGAATGAGGATTTGGTAAGAGTTTTGCTGCTAGGTGTCACCGTAATTTGGATTTCAAACTGTTTTGATTTCCAAACTATTTTGTAGATTGGGTGAGTTGGACTGTGCATTTTCCCACCTTGTAACTAGAGTAAGTAAGACCAGGAATCAGGGAAGTTGAACCTACTTCTGCCCTCTTTTAAGGAATTTCAGGCGCTAATACCAGTTATTTTTATGGTCCTAGGAAGGGTTTCTGTCTTCAGCCCTGGGTAATTTTCATATCTCTTGGCTCAGCCCCCAAAACATACAGAGCAACTAAGAGACTAGCCCAGTAGAACAGTTCTAGTACTTTGTTTTGTGTTTTGTTTTGTGCGTGGTTCTTTTATAAAAATAAACTTCTAATATTAGGACAGTTTTAGAGTGAAATAAAAGTGGCAACGATAGGAGAGAGGGTTCCCGTGTATCGCGCACATCCAGTTAAGCTTGATCACCTGCCTGAGCTGAGGCTTCTCCACTGTAAGTCGCCCTTCTCCGCCCTTTGCATGCTGTCACTGTGCACACCCCACAGTTAAAGGGCGAACAGTGTGCTCTGCCTCCCTGGGGAGGCGGTACAGTATCTTCATGGTTTATTTGGAAGTCTTTGGTATGTGAGATTTGTCTCTTCTCACGTCCAACCAGCTTTGGTTCAGGCAAGAGAATTTTTAAAGTGACCTCAGGATTGTTTTCCTTTACCGCTGGGAAAAGCCATTGATCTGAACTGGGTTGCTTGAAAGTGTCTTCATTTTCCTTGCTTTCACCTTTCTGTCTGGTCATCTGCCACATCATCTCAGCCAGGAAGGCGGGGGGCGGCACGGAACACTTATGCCTCCAATTATTTTCTTTTCCTCATCGCTTTACATTCTTTTTTTTTTCTTTTTTAAGTATGTCTTTATTGACACCAGGGAGAGGAGGGGAGAGGGAGAGAGAGATAGAAACATCAGTGATGAGATAGTCATTGATTGGCTGCCTCCTGCACGCCCCCTGCAGAATCGAGCCTGCAACCTGGGCAGGTGCCCTGACCGGGAATCCAGTGGCGACCTAGGTCGATGCTCAACCGCTGAGCCACGCCAGCCAGGCTCCCTTTACATTCTTGACTTTTCTTGTAGGCTGAGGCTTGATCATTGGCTTTTACTTGAGATGTAGGGGTCGGCTCTTCTCTTTTAGCATATATCCCAGTGTTTCTACTGAAGTCCTAACATACTTTTTTGTGTTCTTTTTCCACGTGGCAGATATTGGAAAACAAGATCTCTTTAGAGAAGTTAAAGGATGTTATTGCAATGAATGCCTCAGAACTTTCAGAGGTAAAGCTGCCTACACTTCATGCAAGATACTAATCCGATGTCTTAGTTTTATCGAGGAGCAAATACTTATGTGTGCTAAAATATGCAAAAAAACAAAACTATCTGATTTCTCATTTGGAAAGTGTGACTTTTTTTTTCCTTTGGAATTAATTCACCAATAGGAGTGTTTTGTCTTAGGTTCAAATTGCCCTTAATGAAGCTAAACTCAGTGAAGAGAAGGTGAAGTGTGAATGCCACCGGGTTCAAGAAGAAAACGCCAAACTTAAGAAGAAGAAAGACCAGGTAAAGAAAAGTGAACGCCATAGGTTGTGTAAACTAGAGAACGAATATCTTTGCCTCCTGAGTATCTTTTCTCAGGTCTGGTTTTAAGGAAATAAAGTATGTATGCAGGATTCTGTTCTGAGGTATGCCAAGTGTACACTGTGCTCCCCAAATTGGGTACATCTGCTTGTTCTGCATCTGCTCTGGATTTTCTGTTCTTTTGTACAGTGTCTTAGAGCTAGCCGAGTGTTTGGTCTTTGTCTTGGCGAACACCAGCCAGTTATTAACTTGAGTAGCCTCAAGGGGGCGGTGGATTTGCTTTTAAACTGGAGAATTCGTTTAGGCCGTTTCGGCTTCACTGACCAAGGGAAAATTGCATGATCTGGAGTCTGGGAGACTGAGATTGTTTACTGTACCCTACTATTCCCACTGGAAGTGAGTTACTGGGATTGGCTGCAGTTTTGAAGGCTACGGTAAACTGGATCAGCTTTTTGACGGCTTTCAGTTCCCACTGCAGTTCTGAGGGTTGGAGCCTCTCTCCCTTCGCCCTTCACCAAGGCCTTCGCCCATTGTGACAGGCCAAAGGGCGGCGTGGCTCCATGCTAACCTGTCTCCTTCACATGGGCCTGATGTCTCCAGTGCAAAAGCCCTAACTTTTGGAAATTCATGTGTTTTAACTTTTCAGTTGCAGCAGGAAATCAAAGACTTGAATAAATCCCATGCTGAGCTCAGTGAGCAAATCAAATCCTTTGAGAAGTCTCAGAAAGATCTGGAAGTCTCTCTCACTCAAAAGGATGATAATATCAATGTAAGTCCATTCTCTTGAATACATGTCTAATTCTCGTGAATTCCCACGCAACCCACTTAATGAAAACCAACAGGTGCTTTCTAATACCCTTTTGCTTCTTTTCTAGGCCCTGACGAATTGCATCACACAGTTGAATCGGTTAGACTGTGAAGCTGAGTCTGAGCGGCAAAGAGGAAATGAGTCAGATGAATTAGCTAACGGGGAAGTGGGAGGTAAGATGGGTTTCGGGGAGGTTAGTGCTTTTTTCGCCTTGTCTTTTATTACGTACACTGATGCTCCTTTAGAGTGTGGATGGGCACAGCACTGGACCTGTACACACGTCTGTGCATTGGGCAGAGGTGGGAGGCTGGGCTGTGGTGTAACAGTGGGCAGGCAGTGAACTCTGACTTTGCTTTTCCATCCAATTAGAACTAGACGTGTGCAGAATTGAACGCTCATCATCTCTGTAGCTCTGTGGTTTTAAGGCAGCACAACCCATTTTCAGAGTAACGAGGTGGTGGGAGCCATAAACCAACCTGGGTCAGGAGAGCGAGGCTAATACGTAGCTGTGTTTCCTGATGAGATGTTTCTAGATTCTGTTTCCCAAGTTGGATGTTTCTTGCGTAGTGGGTGTTTTCAACCCCACCAGGTAGCAGGTTCACGGGGAGAACAGGAGTGAGTTTTCCAAATCAGATACTTGACCAGGTGGGGTGGATGTGAGAGGGAACAAAGAGCTTTGCCTCACATACACCTCTTTGCTCGCAGCATGGACCAGTTTTATTGCACAAAGATTTTTATTGTCCTTCACTTTTTGAATCTAAGTTTGCGATTCTCTTAAAAGTCCAGTAGCCTACTCAGTTCTATTGGTGAATTGGTTTTTACTTTAATGTTTAAACATGGTAATTGTTTAGTTTGGGGAAAATCAAGAAAATAGAGTTAAAAAGCACGGGAGGAAGAGGTAACGAGAACCTTTTGTTTTTTAGGTGACCGAAGTGAGAGGGCAAAAAATCAGATCAAGCAGATGATGGACATTTCTCGGGTATCTTCCTTTGTGTAGAACTGTTACCCGACGTGCCCGGGAGTCCTTACTGCGCCTCACTTTTAAGAATACCTCTCTCTGCTGCACTTTTTAGACGCAGACTGAGATATCGGTAGTCGAAGAGGATCTAAAACTTTTACAAGTTAAGCTGAGAGCCTCCATGTCCACAAAATGTAACCTGGAAGGTAGGTTGCCAGATACTGCGAAGATCAAGAACCGCATCGGAAAGAGAAAGAGTGGCTTCCTGTGTTCACGTTTCTTTCTCAATCTGTCAGTCCTTGGTGCACGCACAGCTCAGGTGTGTTCTCCTTTACAGACCAAATAAAGAAGTTGGAAGATGACCGCCGGTCCCTGCAGTCCGCCAGAGCTGGACTAGAAGAAGAAAACAAGACCCTGAAGCAGAAAGTGGAGATTCTGAATGAACTCTATCAGCAGAAGGAGATGGCGCTGCAAAAGTGAGATTTTCCCGGGTCGTCCACAATATTGTCATTTAAGTAAATGTGTGGATGATTAGAGATACTTTTGTCTCTTTTTAAAGATTATTAACAGTTTTTCCATCTATAGTGAGCATAAGATTGCCTTTTTTCCTTCCTACCCCATTTGCCATAACTTGCATTTTCCTTTCCATTCTAACCAGTTGTCAGAAATTGTTGCTTGCTATTTGAGGGGGAGCGGTGTATTGCTGCTAACAGTTACCGCTGGGGAAGTGCTTTTAGTTTTTTAAGATCTTTACCCTTTCTACAGCTCCTAAAAATCTTAAGTGATTTCAATACATGATTTTTAGTAAAATAAGTACTTCAAAAGGAGTATTTAGTTATTGAAGATATCGTAAGTTTTGGACTTAATATAGTCAGATACTCTCACTAAATATTACGTAATGTAATTGTGGCAAGGATGTTTGCTTGTCTTTTAGATTTTGATCACAAAGCCTTGCAGGGTTGCCCTGTCGATTTTGATTGAGTTGCGAAAATTATACATTATAGTATCTGTCCATAGTTTAATCTCAGCATTTTACTAGGTAACTGGTGTATTATAGCCGCTCATAAATACTTGCTGAGGTAGTGAATGGGCAGTTAAGAAGACATAAACCTTTTTTTCTTTGGTGTTATTAACTCTTATTACTATAGCTCTTCTCTCATTTTGCTTCTAATTCATAGAAAATTAAGTTTCAGGTTGTCTTTTGCATCAGGACTATGTGCAAAGAGGGCCAAGAGTAACAAGAAAACAGCATTTTTAAACCATTAACTGTTAACAACCATTGTCATGTATGCTGTAGTAGATTTGTCGACATCTCGAGCTTGAAGGTTATTGGGGTAAAACCAGTTTCCTGTAGATTAGTATGCTGATTATGGGGCAGTCATTGCCAATCCTTAGGTGTTCCTCTCTCCATGTCACAATCCCATTCCAGCAGGTAGGTAGTAGGGTTCAGGTCTGAAGTGGGGGAGTGTCCTGTGGTCAACTGCATAGATAGAAGACCTGTTTTAAGGGCTTGTTCTTCAGCAGACTGTCTTCATCTTGGTGCCAGCCTTGAACTAAGAAACAGCCCTTCCATGATAGAAATAAGTAGTTGTTATAGGTCTTCCTATGGTAGAAATAAAGAGAATTATTCCCTGCTTTAGCCTAATAGACCTGTCAGGCATATTAGCCCTGGCTTCCCACATTGGAGTCCAATGAGCTTTCATCAGCTCAGGCCCAAGCTTGGCTGCCCATGGGCACATAGTGTTTTTTTTACATTTATTTATTTATTAATAAGTAGAGAATTACAAGGAGAAGTTAGAAAATGCAGGTGATTTGCCACCAGGCCAGAGATAGATTTTTATCCCTAAATGGCAGGCGTGAGTTCCCTCAGGAATTTGTGCACTTGAGAGAGGACGGGAAGCAGTAACGTTTGGATGGAGGCATTGGGACAGACGCTGGGGAGAGAGACACTGTGACTTGACAGCTGCCTCTGCCTTAGGAAGCTGAGCCAGGAGGAGTTTGAGCGGCGAGAAAGAGAGCAGCGGCTGACGGCGGCCGACGAGAAGGCGGTGTCGGCGGCAGAGGAGATAAAGACCTACAAGTGAGTTCAGCCTCTACAGCGTGAAACTACGGTTGGATTTTTTAAAAAACCCACTTTTATAATTTGCAGAACATAGCACAGAAGCATAAATAATGGTCAAAGGACACAACTGCATTTAATTCACACAAGTAAAAAGAAATTTGCAGTTAACAAAGGAAAAAATGTTTAACAAAAATTTCCCTACACTCAACGCTGGCAAGACTGTAAGGGCACTTGGTCCATGCTGGCAGCTCTGGGTGGTTTTAGGTGGTAGAGTAACTGTTTTAGGAGCTCAGTTTGCTATCTGGTGAATCAAACCTTTAAAAAGACCGTGCCATTGATGGACCCAGTACTCAGCTCTAGGAAATTTTCCATGGATATAATTAAAGGGGGGGAGAGCTTTCTGGAGGAAGACAGTCACAGCAGGCTTATTTGAGAACATATTGAAGAACAGTTACATTATAATGTATCAGCTCAGAATTTCCAGCCGAGAAATAAGGGAATTATGTAGCATTAGTTTTGATCATGCTGTACTCTAAGCATGTGGAACATGTTTCTGTGTTATGGATGAAATCTGTAAGGGAACATGGTGAAACTATTGAACATCTTATCCAGTTGTGCTAAATTGATAAACGCAAGTGTAATTCTTAGGTGGAGAATTGAAGAACTGGAGGGGGAGTTGCAGAAAACAGAGCGCTCCTTTAAAGACCAGGTAATGACGGCCCTGCAGCTGAGAATCCTTGGGAATCTCCTACAGACCAGTGCACTGAATCCCTAAACATATTTTTTGATGTGTTGTCTCTTTCAGATTTCTGCTAATGAGAAGAAAGCTCATGATAACTGGGTAAGGTTTTCCCCTTCCCTTTATTTGGTGCATAGTCGACCACAGCTGAATGTGGCTGTTTTTTCCTCCAATAGCTCAAAGCTCGTGCCGCAGAAAGAGCTATGGCTGAAGAGAAGAGGGAAGCAGCGAACTTGAGACACAAGTATGTGACTTTGATCCCTTTTTTTTCCAGTGCATTTTGGAGGTTTTTAAGGCTCTGCTGTGTGGTATTGAGTAAGAATTGGTTTGTAATTTCCTATTTAAGTCCATTATTTCTCTATATTCCAGATTATTAGAATTAACCCAAAAGATGGCAATGCTGCAAGAACCTGTGATTGTAAAACCAATGCCAGGAAGACCCAATGTACAAAACCCCCCACGAAGAGGTAGGGGGCACTTTTAAAGGGCAGCAATCTCTATTTTGGTGCAAACTCTATATAGATTACTTTGTATTTCTGTGAGTAATAGTAATGATGCCCTAGAAGCAATCCCAAGAACTTACTAAAGAAAAGAGGTTGCCTGGCAGTGGTAATGGTGGACTGTCATCCGCAGGTCCCCTGAGCCAGAACGGCTCTTTTGGCCCCTCGCCCGTGAGCGGTGGGGAGTGTTCCCCTCCACCCAGAGACCCGCCCGCGAGACCTCTCTCTGCTACGCTGAGCCGAAGAGATGTGCCCAGAAGTGAATTTGGTGAGCATTCATATGTTGTCTGTGAGCTGTTTCAAGAGTATTTCCCCTTTTTATTTGAGAATTCTAATGTAAACTTTTTAGAATTTGGGCCTGACCAGCATAGAGAATTTATTTTTCTTATTATTTCAAGTAATCTACTGCAGGATCTGCTTTAGAACAGAAAACATCTATTTATGTAATAAATATTAATATTATTACATTTATATTTAAGTAAAACATATTTATATGTCAGGAAGTATATAAATACTTACTGTTGTTTTGCCTCTTTTTTATTTACTGTGATGTGTAACTTATCTTTCAAATAAACGTCTATGGAGTTCCTTTCTTGAGTATTACAAAAGCCTGAAGACTGTAATTTATGCAGCCTACAGCCTTTCTCAGTATAGTATGAAATGCTCAGTCTCTTTCTATTCATAAATGTCTGTGAAACTTGGTAAGACACGGAAGTGTTACCTGCAAACTGAAGAAGGTCCGCCTGGACACCTGCCTCAAGCCTGCAGCGTGAGGTATCTAACCAGTGCTGTTCAGGGGCAGGTTTTGTTGCCAGTCTCTCAATCCCAGACAGCTCTTATTTAACTCTTTAAGTCTGTGCGTAAATTGTGATTTTCCCCTCGTCGGTACCGGGGACCTGTTTTTAACAGCGCTTTCTAGGCACAGTTGAACCCTGTGATTAGTTTATTCCGTCTGAACATCCACGCAAGGGCTCTGTTCTTTCTCAAGGTTCAGTGGACCGGCCTCTACCTGGTCTCCAGTCGTCTGAGGCACCTGGGAAACCCTCTGCCTCTGGGAGGGACCCGAGTGTGTTCAGTCGGAAATCATGGAGGCAGTGTGTAGAGGGTTTTTTATTCTCCCTCAGAGAGTGTAGCTCACCGTCAGTCTAACTCAGTCCTCTGGCCTTCAACAGATCCAGGGGCTGGTGCAGCTGCCATGATGAACAGCAGCCCAAGAAGCTCTTCCCCTTCGAAGGTGGTGGATGGGGGCAAGGTAAGCATTTCGGGAAGCATTTCTGTTTCTGCAGCGCCCTCCCTCTGCCTCATCCATCTCCTACCTGTGCGTTCTGTTATATCTCTACTATCTCATTTATTTTTTAAAAAAGCAAACTGTTCCCCAGGAGTCTGAAGGCCCTTCGGCTCCCAGCATCACCCCCTTGGCCGAGCATCCAGTAGCAGTAAGTACTTAGGGGATGAAGACTGACCTGGGCTTTACCCGGTGTACTTCCGGAAGGGCCGCACAGGGCACGGCGGTCACCTGTCCGCCTTTGTGTGAAGTTGCACGGCAGTGTGATCTTACTCTAGTCGTTGACTTGCTCGGGTTTCTCAGTTGCTGAAATCTGACTGGTTGGTTGGTTTTTTCTCCTGTTTCTGTTTTGGTTAAGTGATGAACCCGTCCAGTGTGTTGTAATTACACCTTTACACTGTGTGCCTCAGTGTTGAGTTCTCTCGGGCACTGTATGGTGCATAATTCACTGTTACTATATATGTGTTTGGAAGTTCGCTATTTAACACCTCCAGTTGTATGCTAGGAAAATCCTATTTTGAATAATCTGAAATCGCAGAAGGTCTTGGTAACAGAAGGATGTTTGCTGGAGGTGAAATACTGACTAGTGAAAATCTGTAATTACTTTTGTGCCAGTGCCTGGCAGGAGCCTTACATTATGTTCACGAGAATATTCTCTCATCACTTGTATAGCTGTTATCTCAGTAAGTGCTCTGATTACACCTCGCAGTGCTTCTCTAGGTTGAAATCGAAATACGTTTAACTTATTTAGAATTTCCTACCCAGTTTCCCGTAAGAAAGGATTAGTCATTACCAGGTCATAATACACAGTATCACTGGTGAATGAAGGTAAATATTAGCACTGTCCATGCCTAGCTTATATGCAGAACATCATTTCTATTGGAAAACACTTCCCAGCTCCCATGTGGAACTGCAGGAGTACACCTCTTGACATTTTTTTCTCCAAGGGCAGCTGGAGTAAGACCCAAGACCCCTTTGAAGTAGAACTTCAAAGAGAATAGGCTGCTTTGTTAGAGGGAGGCAGAGGTGGGCAGACCAGGCCTGGTACTGGCTTCTACTGTAGCCTGTTACAAGCTCTATAATCTGCAGCAAATGACCTAATGCTCTGGGTTATTTCAAACAAGACGGTCATACTTAGAGATCTGAGAATCTGATGAAAAGAAATTGAAGGTACTCTGACAGTAGCTCTGGTTACGTGTGTAGAGAATGGGGTTTTGTTCCCTCTCCTCTCCATTCTTAGTATGGAAATAACGAGCTGCTGTGATGGGAGGGATATGCAGAGGGAGGGGCTGCCCTAGAAAGAGGTCGCTGTGCACAGCATGGTGTGACTTTTTCCCTTCCATTTGCACGTGGCAGCAATGGTATGATCACAATAAAACTCACTGCTGGGCCGTCCTACCTGCCCAGCTGCAGTGGGAACCAGTGGGAGGAGGGGTAGTTGTTGCACTGGTTCTGCTTGCTGGCAGGTGTCTGATACCTGCTTCTTGCTCAGATTGTTGCTTCTATCATACCAAAGTATTTCAAAACTTTGTTTCTGCTCTGCAGGTGAATATGGCTGCAGAAGGGCCCCCTCTTTTCCCAGGGGTGCCCCTCATGAGCTCCTCCATGGGAGGCCCCATACCACCACCCATCCGATACGGACCACCNAACTGTTTCTGCTCTGCAGGTGAATATGGCTGCAGAAGGGCCCCCTCTTTTCCCAGGGGTGCCCCTCATGAGCTCCTCCATGGGAGGCCCCATACCACCACCCATCCGATACGGACCACCTCCTCAACTCTGCGGGCCTTTCGGGCCTCGGCCATTTCCTCCACCTTTCGGTATGATTACTGAACAGTGGTCGTTGACTTGTAAAGCCGAGCACCTTTTCTGTGTGTTCCCTGCTGAAATGCTAAGTTGCCATCACAGGGCTATGCCATGAAAGGGCGGCGCTGGCTGAGTCCGCTGAACTTTTCCTCAGTTTCTGCAGACACATGGGCTGCTACACTCCCCCCTGCCGAGATGGGCAGCACTGGGTGTCTCCTGCAGACAGCAGAAAGGGGCTGTTTCTAGAAAGCCAGAAATACCACTGCTACAGATGTTTAGTGAACATCTGTGGCTGCATGTCAGGCTCTGTAACGCACAGAACTGACTACTCTCCAAACTCCGAGAGCTCAGTGTCTTATAGGACACAGCTACATACATTAAACAACATAAATGGGTCAGAGTGTAAAGGGCAGAGGAAACCCTCACTGCCCACCTTGGGAATAAAGGGGAAGGAAGTTTTAAAGAGAAGGCAGAATGTAATAGCTACCTAGTGAGTGCTGCTGAATTTAACAAGGTGGAGCTGGAAGGCCTTTCCAGGGGGGCAAGCTCCTTGATTTTCACGGCTAGTTAGGTCCCTGTTGAGTACTGTATGAATTTTTAATTGATAGCAGTAGTAGACGTAGGATTCCCTTGATCAAAATTTCTATATCTTGGGAAGCCCTTTGTTCATAATCTGTCAAATACAAACCAAGCTCTTGTGAGATAAAGATGGCAGGCTTGTGGAGGGGAAAAACCACAGGCTAGGTAGAGCCGTGTTTAAATCCTGCCCGCGCTGCTTCCTAGCGCTGGCCAGCCTGGAACTTAAACTTACTGAGCCTCAGTTTGACTGATGGATAAAGTGGGGATTCTACATGACTTCTAGGGATGGGAGAATCACCTACTAGATGTGTTCATATGTACTGTGACGCAGTTTTTATTTTCCCAGGTCCTGGTTTGCGGCCACCTCTAGGCTTAAGGGAGTACGCACCAGGTGTTCCGCCTGGGAAACGGGATGCGCCTTTCGACCCTCGAGGATTTGTACCAGCACACCCCCACTTTAGACCTGTAGGCTCTCCTGGGCCTCGAGAGTACTTTATTCCTGGCCCCCGACTACCACCCCCGGGCCATGGCCCCCAGGATTATCCTTCACCTGCTGCAAGAGACTTACTGCCTTCTGGCTCCAGAGAGGAGCCCCCACCTGCCTCTCAGAGCGGCAGTCAGGACTCCTCCCAGCCCTTGAAACAGAGCCCATAGCTCTGACCTCCGACGTGTAGTTGGAGAGGAAGCGGACTGTGCACTGCTCGTTACAGTCTTAAATCCAAAAGTTGAAATAAAGTTAGTTTTTAGAACTAAGCTGCCCTGGCAGTGTGCATTTTTGAGCCAAACAATAAAAATATACCATTTCCCTCCCTTAAATAAAATCACCTCGTAAGCTAGAGCCTCCTTCCAACTTTGAAATGTGCAATAAAGAATACCTGTGTTTTAGTTAATGTAGCCTATGTAACTGTTCAATGATTTAGAACGTCATGAAAAATACGAACATTTCCTGTGGAAATGCTATGAGAACATGTATTTCCATTTATTACCCTGTTTTTAGTGGACACCAGTTGAATGCAGAGCAACGGTGTTTATAAGCTTGAATTTTTAAAGTACCTGGTCGCAAGGACTGTTACGCTAAAAATGTTTACTAAAAGATCACTGAACTTTATCTCCCCTCTTGCTGAAGTCAGTCTTTATAGTAAAAGTTCATTAAAATTTGGTTATTAATGTTTCCCAGGTGTCTGTTGATTCATTGGACTGTTTTCTCATGAGACTTGTGCCATCTGGAAAAGAGGAAAGCTCGGGCTCTCAGAACCCAGCTGGTGACTGGGCAGCAAGCTCCCTGCTGCTCCCTGCTCAGGAGGCTGGGCCTCAGTCACCCGGGACACATGACCGAGGTCTGCCTTTATTCAGCGGGCCCATCTGCGCAGCACTCGGGGGCTTTCTGTGACTTTAACTGCCCAGTTCATTTCCTGAGTGTGAGTTGACGGTAGTAGCAAGAATCAGTTGACTTGATGTTCTGTTGCTCTTTCCATTCATGCATTAAGGGTGCACCACAGAAAAATGAAAACAATGTCTTATGCCCATAAAAGGAAATTTCTTTTATTAAAAAATGTCGTCTATTATTTCTCCCATACCTTGCCTTTGATATTCAACGAGTGTGGCAAAAACGATCAGAGGAGTAGAATACTATGAGGAAGAATGATTTAGGGTTTTAAGGCTTGTCACATGTTGTAGGTCAGCAACCTCAGTTCTTCTTGTTGATTGATTCTACTCCAGTTAATATTTGAATGTTGGCACTTATACTTAAAAATCAGTATATCTAAGAATCTGGGATTACACCAAAAGTCTTATTATACTGTTACTACATCCTGTCTTTTAAACATTTCTTAAGAACTAACTCTTTAGACCCTTGAAATTATTGTAATGTAATGTAATCTTAAGAAATTTAAGATTTAGATTAAATCAAAATTATAAAAAGCTGGTATCCTTGTTTACTGCTTGACACAAAATGATGAAGTTAATATAATTTCCAGTTTTAAATAGCATTTAAATATATATTATACCAGTTAGGAAGATAATCCAGTAGGGAAGGTAAATTAAATCTATTTGTAAATGGAAGCTGGAGACTTTTTTGACCCGTAAAGCTTTTCTGGGTACTTATTCTACGTCTCGTATTACTGAAAAAGCAATAGCCATAGAGAACCTCAGTGTCGCTTACCTGAGCAGTTCTGAACCTGCCACGGTGGCCGCCTCAGCCCTCTAGTGGCATCACTTCCGCAGGAGAGCCCGGGCAAGCTGCCAATATCCAGAAAAGGGGAGGAGACCATCCCTCAGTTACGTCACACTTGGCTTCTCAAATGTTACATCTATTTCAGACGTCATCTCCAGCTAATTGTGTTTCTGGGGTTATAAAATCACCTCATTATGAAGCAGCAGTGTTTCAGCCTGAAAGCATTGCGGTCATTGTTCAATGGGTATTTTTTTCATTTGAAAGTAAATTTAAATAATTTTCTGTGGGATATGGAGTATTCTGTGTCTACTGCTTCTGGGCAATCACTTCCTTTGTCATTTCATTCAGGTCTGAATTAAAGCTAAGCTACTCACACAGTGTTCAATTTAGCTTCTTTAATACTGAAGAATGTGTGGTTTGTATAAACCATGCTTATGTGAACAGCAGCAGATGCTTCGTATAAATGATCACTTTGATATACATGTCTTACGGTCTAGAGAAAAGAGAAAGAACAATAATACATCAGTTTTGCTACATTTTAATAGTGGGTTTTTGAGGGATAATTTTTTTAGGTCTTGTCAGCGACATCAAACAAAAGGTAGTGAGTGTTCCGCAGGGTAGAGTGCTGCCAAGCACCTCAGAGTTTACATGACATGAGAAAACATAGTTCTCGCCCCTTGAGGAGCTTACAGTCTGGGGGGCTGACAAATCACAGTCTAAGAGTTGAGTGAACAACAGTTATTTAAGGCAATTTCTCGTCCCCTCCAGCTACTGTGGACTGAACTGTGTTGGGATTAATCTAATCAAGACAAGAAACAAGACTAGATGTGGTTGAGAATTTAGGCTCATAAAGTTTCTGACACCCATCTCAGTAAACAGAATGACCTAACAGGCTGAAAGGGAAGACTAGGTCTCGTGAAGTGCAAGGGCAGGACAACGTAATTGTGGTTACTTATTTTAAGAAGCAAACATTGAACAGTATGACGAGTTATTACACTAGTTTAAAAGTAGGCCAAGTGCTGGCCCCACATTCCCCTCATGCTAGCACTGGTCACTGAAAGTAGTGATATCAAATATGTGGGCTGCACGTCTAACCTGCAGAGAGCCCACCCCGGATCTAACGTTCTGTGTATCAACAGCCCCCTCACCTGTACCATGCAAGTTTTATTTACGCCTCGTTAAGTCAAAAGTAATGTAAATAGTCAAATTATAACAAGCAAATGACCTGCATATTTCCATACGGATGAATGTCGATATATCTAAACGGAAATAAATGGCAATCTTATCTACCTTTGTAAAAAAAAATAAAAGTATCTCCAAATTTTGCATACTCATCACTGTAAGAAGAGGGATGCAGGTTTTCAGGTTTCACAATCAGTTGTCAGAAAAACAGCAGTATTCCTGCCGTATTGCGTTGGCATCTGACTCAAGTTATTTTTAGGTTATATGACTTAAAAGACATTACTAACCCATCTAAATATTGTAATTATTCTGGATGGTTCCACACTAACCCTAGAATCACTACTGGAAGAATAACATGACTAACAACATACTCCTGTTCAGAACAATCTGGTCATCTGGAAAAATCACAGCTACAACCTGGGAACACTCCCATATGGACACTGATCTGGCCAAGGCACACTCTAGGCAGGAAAAGGAGGAGATCGGGGTGAACTTAGGCCATCTCGGAGGAGCAGCCTAGAAATTTCCTTCTTGGACAGCACAACTGGTCCAAACTCTCCAAAACAGTTTCATATGATCCTACCCACATTGGCCCAAAGTCTGACATTAACTCAAAAAACCAGAAGAGCATAGTGGAGCAGAAGTGAACAGATGTGTAAACTCTAGTACATTCTTATTGCTGTAAGGAGTTTGAAGATGAGCACGTCTTACCCACGACAGTGTTGTTTCAGGAAGCAGGGCAGTAGTGGTAAATTTTAGAAAAGAGGCTATTCATTGCACAATCGATAGAAAAGTAAAAACATGTTTCAAAACCTACAATAAACCTGTATCCAAAGGAGTCCCACATGTCACTGACGTGCTGGACACAGAATTCTGTGCCAGAGTTTCCAATGGACTCCCTCCAGCCCACTGGCACAGGTACGGCTGGCTTCTTGCCTGTTGAAGGGTGAGTATTCTACATAGAGCTACGATGGTTTCTAGTGAGTGGTAACATTCACAGAAGTTCCAGGTTACTCATGTCAGGGTCATTCCTTGTGCAAAGTTTGATGTAGATGGAGATAAAGTGGTTTCTTGGTCAATAATTGCAATTTCTTTCTTTTAAAGTCAGTGGGTTTCTTGTATCTGTAACCACAATAGAAAACCACTGTTTAAAATATTTGGTAACTGATCTCGTCCAAGGTCACACAGTAAGAACGCTAGCCACCATTCAGTTAGTACGAATCCCACGCGCGCATCACTTACAGCTCTATCACAATGGGCCCGGGCCTGACTTCATCCATCTCCATGAAAGCGAAACACTTGGTACTGGTGAATCTTTTTTTGGGCTTGTAGTGTTTAAATTCAAAGAAGATAGCTGCACCTAAGTTAGGGTGAAAACAAACCACCTTAGCCACTCTAGTCAATACATTTTCTTTGATCACCAGATGTATATGAACCATCAACAGTTGGCATAATTTTACAAAGTAACCTTTGTCAGGATGGTTTGACTGTTGCTGTCATGACAAACTCTTTTGTATCTGAACGAAGTGACATTTCTACAAAGTACAGCAAAACTCCTGATCTAGGCTGACTAAAGAACAAAATGTGGAAAGACAATGGTCTAGGAAGATGGGCTGAAATGCTTATAAACATGAAGTGCAGTATATTCATGAGCATTAATATCAGTTCAAACTACAGTAACTGTACATAATGAATCAAAGCTGGAGAAAATGAATGGAGCAGCCTCTGAATACAGTCCTACTCTTAACACCCTGAGAGGCAAGTCATCAGGAACACAGCTCAATAAAATAGAAACACAATAAAGTAGGCTGTGAAACACCCCCATCCCCACATCAGAAACATTTCTCAAAGCAACAGAGTTAAATGGAAAAGTTTTGTTAATGTTTTTATGCAGAAGGCATACTTCATACTGAAATTTCTTGGACATTATTTCTTAAGCATGTCCTATCTATACATCCTTCTAACATGGTGATTCTCCAACTCTGGTGTGCATCAGGAGATCTGGGGTGGGGCCTGAACACTTGCATCCACCAGGAAGGTTCCAGGTGCTGCTCACGCTCCGAGAACCACCTCTAACAGAAGCACTGTGGACAAGCCTTTTAGAATAGAGGAGCAGCAGCGCCAGATTTGAGAAGGAAAATACCAAGTATTTTAGAGGATGTGGCAGCTGCTCAGAAGGCACTTGTATATCTCGCACTGAATCTCAGGTGATAAAGGGGCTCTGAGGTCTTCTTTTCAGAGGACACTGACATTCCTGGCAGGCAAAAGGCACGGAGAAACGTCTCCTAAGAACTGCGTAACTGGGAAATGTAGCTTCACCTTCTTAAAAATTTCCTTTGTCCTTTCCCATCCTCCTGCCAGCTAACTGCACATCACAGGACATGGCTGCCCCACAGATTCAGCTGGAAAAATGTTCTTTCAACTACTAGAGGCTTAATCTTCAGGGAGCCCTGCCTCCCCAGCTCTTTTGTAGGAGGAAAGCTTTCATTCTGTTTTGTTGTTAAAGATAAGATTTTACTATCAAAAAATATTTTGTTATAGAACAGTTATTATACAACTACGTAATACGCTTCCTAATTCCCACATTTATACACGCACACACATTTCAAACCAATAAACACTAGGCGACATTTACTTTTTCCAACACTACCAGGTCCACCAGGCCCACCATGAACAAGATGAGAACTCTGCCCAGAAGAGGCCATTTGCGATTACGCACCTTTGGTTAATTTTTCAACGTGCTTCTGGAGCTCAATGTCCACATTAAAATGAACATACGTATCTTCTTTTCTTGAAGCCACAGGAGTGTCTTGCACAGGAGTTAAATCTATGCCATTCAGATCTGGAGAGGAAAAGTGTTTCTGCTCAGTAGCAATCAAATGCACAGACTCAGAAACAGCAAAGGGACCACAGGGGATTGTGTTTCCTAAAGAGGCCTGGAAGAGCGGAGAGCGGACTCCAGTTTCCAGGTGTGGGTGGCCACCTGAAGACCTTGTGGTCTCCAGAGGTAAGTGGAGGGAGCTGAGGAAAGAGAAGGTGGGGGGCCTCACGGACCAGAGGAGGAAGGCTTGGCATGACTGAGTACAAAAGCAAGCTTGGAGATAACAGAATGTGATCCTTATAGTTAAGAGGCGGAGAAGTTGTCTTCCTCAGGGAGTAGGCCACTATATTTCTGTGTGCAATAAAAACTTGGAGTGTCAACGATACCCGTTGTCCTCCCTGATCAAGTGCATGGCATGGAAAGGCTTTTCCATTGGCCATCATCAGAATTCCTGTTGTATTCAAGTCAGAGGACCAAACAACGGGCACGACAGCTGCCAATGAAACCTCTCCATACGTGAATGCCTTTCAGGTACATTACCTAAATTATGGTTACATTTGCTGTAACATAACCTGATTTACAACAACCAGATGGTACACTATGTATGGTGTATGGTTTTAATTTCCCGGAGCCTGGAATCTTCCAGTTTAATCAAATTCAATAGGGACTCACTTAATGACTCCTCAGCATTTTACTCACAGGCCCATCCTAGGGGACTTAAAACGATTTAGTACATTTAATTATTTCAGCTCCTAAAGATACTTACACAAAAACACGTTTCAGTTTAACGTGTATGCAAAGGTAACGTAACACCTCTCATGCTATCATGACAATTTTTGTGTGTGATTTACAGTGTGTATTCTCAAGTGAGATGCAGCTTTGTGAATGGCCTATTAAACAAAGTAGGGTACAAATACTTCCCAGTCGACCATGGACTTGATAACCACACATCAGATGATAAAGTAGCACAGCACTACTGCTGTGGACCACGGTTTCTCCATGTTAAAATCCTATTCTGTGGCCAAGTTCCATTTTCTTTTATTTGGTACTAATGAACCCACATGGGTCTGAATTTATTTCTGTTGTTGGTGAGTTTCCTCCATTTAATTTCAGTCCATGTCTGTTTCTCTGATTTGCCTCAAACTGCAGATTAACTATGGGTTGGATTAACTGTGCCATCATTTCTGAATAACGGTATGACAACTTCATCCTCAATCACCCAATAATTATTTTTAAAAGGCCACTGAGTGCTTTACAATAAAGTTCTGTATAAAATGTTTGGCGATGGCAACTAAAGAATTCAAAGCGCTCTGGTTTCCCTCTTAAACCAAAGACAGAAAAAGTTGTTTTCAAGAAATCAATGGTTTCCCACATTGGATAGTAGGAAAAAAACCAAATTCTAAGAATAATCATGTTTAATAACCTCAGTAACATAGTTCAGAACAAGAAACACACCACTTTTTCATGCCCCATGGGACTATGTTCAGGGTGTGGATGTTTATGGATGTGTCCTATTTCCGTGTCTCCACTGATTCATCAACATCCTGATTCTCACCAACCTGGGCACAGCTCTCCTCTGTATAAGTGTGGACAGGAAAGAGAGGGCCTCGGGGAGGTGGGGGACATTTTTTAGACCTGTTTCCTGAAGGATGTCTCTGCTGTGAAGACAGTGTGTATGTCTAGGCAGCACCCTTGATGGAATTTTAAGAATAAAAAGACACACAAAAAAACTCAAAAGCAAAAGTGAGTGTAAGTTATCATAGGAAAATATTTTTAGTAAATCTCTCAGAAACATTCAGAGAAGGAACAATGACCTCTTCTCAGGGATCTTGCCTCACTGTTGAATGAATGAAAATGAGTTGTCACAGACATAAGAGCCATGCCCCCCACCCCAAATATTCCATGAGAAACAACATTATGAAATTCACCAGAGGGAGAAACACAGATAAGTTATTTACCCTTCACACTAACTGTGATGTAGGGATCAATGCACTGCCCAGCATCCTTCAGGCCGATTTTCTCAATTCTGATGGTGAGTGACGTCATTCCTGGCTCTGACGGCAACCTTGGTAATAAAGTACCTGGCAACAGAGAAACAGCAATAAAAATGAGCTCCATCGACAATTTCGGAGTAACTATTTTAACAAAGAGAAGACAGAGCCCTCCTCTTAACTAACTTAGTAACCAGCCAGGCATTCTTTTGGTTCCCCAAACTCCCAAACACTTGATGTTCTCCTCATACAAATATTTAATTAGACCCAAGACACATTCGCACTTTCATACCTCACGGTCAACTAATTACTCATTCAAGTTTGTTAAAAAATTCAGCTCAGTCTAGGAAGTCCAATTATATACATTACCACATAAGTAATAATGTATATAATATACTTTACATATATTCATATATAATATACTTCAGACCTCAATATGAAGTGGTAGAACAGAAAAAGCTTTAAAAATATTTGTTATATTATCCTAAAGTTTAAGAAATTTTTAAAAATATGTTTTTGTTGATTTTTTTAGAGAGATAGGAAGGGAGAGGGAGAGAGAGAGAAACATCACGAGAGACATGGATTGACTACCTCCTGCATGCCCCACACTGTGTCTGAGGACTTGGAATTGGGGAGGGTTCCTACCATCCCGATAAGAACAGTCACTGTGTCTAAACCGTGCAGACAATATGGTTTGTGAATGTCTGCCTTCCTCTGGGATGTGGGATTTTGGCCAGTGCTAGGCAGAGGGTGGCCATGCGAATCAGCCCCCAGTCACAGCTTGGGCACTAAGTCTCCACTGCGTTTGCCTGCAGGAAACATTTCCTGTGTGTTTACAATTATGTGGAAGAATTAATCACAACACGACTCTATTGGGAGGACTCCCAGAAGCTTGCACCTGGCTTCCTACTTATGCACCTTCTCCCTTTGCTGGCTCTATTCTTGTCATTTCCTCACTGTGGCCCATTATAGCAGTGAGTACAACAATGTGTGCTGAATCCTCCTAGAGAGTCACCAAACCCAAGGGTGGTCCTGGGACCCACAACATAGTAAGATGCTTTCAGACCATACTTCCAAAATAGCTCCTGCCAATCATATGGCCATAAACGTTTGTTCCAGACTGACACGGGCTCTGGAGAGGTTTTACTCCCCACTAGCAAGTACCAAAAACAGTTCCAGACACGCCTTCTGGGGACTGCGTTAAGGAACATCTATTCTTAAATGAGCGACACCCACCAGGCACTCTAGCAGGAAAGGAATCAGGAGAACCTGCTCCAGCACCGCCCTCTTCTTCATCTTCTTCAAATTCCAAATTCTCTTCTTCGCCAGGTGCTAAAATTCTTCTACATGCAAAAGGGGAAAACAGTGAGCTCCAGAACTACGCACACTAGCTGAGCTCGCAGCTGCTCATTTCCCAGACACAATGCTGATACAAACAATGTTGACAAAAACAGGTGTAAACTAAGAGAACACGTTTCGGTGTGTATTTCTTTTACCTTAAGGGGACAGGCTGAACGTCAAACGGGAATTCTTTATTATAGGTAAGAATATTCTTTAAGACTAGAATAAAAAAGAAAGAGACATGAATTCTGTCAATCAAAATGTAAAATTTTATCACAAAGGACTGCTTTTAATCAATTTTACTATGCATATTAATGATTTTGAAAAATTGCCAATCTTATCATGCATTTGTCCATTGACTTACCGGTCTTAGCGAAAGAAAATATCCGTAGTATGCTCCAGGTACGGATAATTTCAGAGGACTGCCAGATCTCTAAGGAGAGTGTAAGTTCTAGAGTCTCAAAGGCCCCATGGAAAACAAACCTCAAAATAATCCTATGTACAAGGTCCCAGGTGAGACATAGGAGCCAAAGACAAATAATGCCTCCTCCTGGAGTATGTCAATTAAAAGAAGGACATCAAAGATGACCAATCAGAGGTACATGCGCATGTCTTATTCTATGTCCCAGCTGGATTTCCCCTCAACTCCATGAAACTGGTAAAGTTTGGTAAACCTGGTTGTAAGTCTCATATATAAATTTATTATATACACACATCTATACATACAAACATTTATTATCATTTATGATAAAGGTTATTACATACATACATGCACACATACATAAAGAGAGATTTATCAAGAGAAGTCTTCAGACAACACGACACAGCACTACACCACCTCCTGTACTATGATTACATTCCGGCATGTAAACTTAAGAGATGTCCTACACTTTGCCTACATTGGAGAAGTACTGTAAGTATGTGCTTCCTATCTAGCCTTATGGATTTCCAGTAACTAACTATCTGCAATGATACGAAGGTGGAGTAATGACATTAACTGGGCAATCCAGAGTTCCCAGGATTTTACACTCATCTCATTCAGCCTGGTTCCCAAGCCCTGCAGCTTAAAGCTAAAATAGGTATGGCATGTTCATCTCAAAGGGGGAAATCCCATGCACAGGCTGCAATTACAGGGCTTCAACAGGGTCAGGTTTGTTTGCCAGACTTCTTGTAACAGGTGCACCCCTACTAAGCCCTTCAGCGAGAGAGAAAGTCTGAGACCTGTGTCTAGATTCTCATCCATGCTCATCCTCTCTCCCCTTCCAGCTCTTACCCTCAGCCTTCCTCCCACCCTTCTTCCAACAAATCCGCCCTGAGCGCCCCTGATGTTCCATACTGGCTGAGATACTGCAGTGATCAGGACAGAGCGTTCTTGCCCTCATATGGATCTCAGGCTGCGGTGCGGAGAGGCAGACAACAGATGAACCAACAAATTAAGAAGGTGATGCAAGACTGCGCTCAGTGGGATCAAGACCACAAACAGGAAGCCTGTGTAAGTGGAGCAGGGGAGGACTTCAGCGGAGGTGGAGAGGGTAGGCCTCTCAAAACTAAACTGTTAGAAGACATGTGAGCCGTGACCTGGAATGAGAGGAACTGTCTCTAAGTAGCTCTGGGGCGAGGGCTTTCCAAGTGTTAGAGGAAGGGCGAGGGCAACAACAAAGGCTCAGGGGCAGGAACGAGTCTGGCCTGTTCAAGGAAAAGAGCCTGTATAGCTGGCGCTGGGTCAGCAGGGGGCAAGTGGCGGATTGGAACTTGATAAATATCTTGATATTACTAAGGATTAACAAAAGAAAATTAAATGACTAGTCCTTTTAAGATCTTAGTTTTAGTACATTTCAGAAAGGATTATCAAGAGATTTAAAAAACCCTTGAAGGGGAAATACATTAGCAAAATAAAGCAACCAAGTCCCACAAAATGAAAGTCATTCATTAACTTTCCTTTTCTCACAATCTTAGAAGAGGCAGAGGCGAGCTCTACTAAGTACACTTAACTTGAACTGTATCGATACCAATTTGTAGAAAATGATTAATTCTGATAAAATAATTAACTCATAAGTGCCTAGTTTTTTTTTGTTTTTGTTTTTAAGTGCCTAGCTTTAATAAAATCAAAATTACAGAGCCTCTCCTACAGAGACACAACATACACAATGCCGTTCCTTTAAGAGTCAATGGCAAATTAAAGATAGTAAGTACCGAAGGGGAGAAGTCCATATGGAAAGCACTATATAAGTTCAAAACATAACAGAATGAATCCCAATAATGCTACCTTTCCTTTCCACCCCCACCTCTAATCTTAAAAAAATAAAAACCAACAAAAACATAAGACAAAAGACTAATGCACACTTTTGTTCAATCTTCTAAGATAAGCGTCAATAATCTCTCAGGAGTTGACCAGAGAACTATGATATTTAGGAGTGATGTCAATATTACACCATTACAGGCATTAACACAGTGTAGTGGAAGACACACAGGCTTTGGGGTCACTTAGACCCCTGGCCATGCATTAATAAGCTGCAAGGTTATGGGCAAGTGTCAGCAAATTGCAACTGAGTAGATTTATCTGTGGGCTTGGTAGGTAGCTGCTACTCTAAAAAATGGTAAACATTATCACCAAGAAAGATCCTTTCTTTCCAGCAATAGGAGAAATAGTTGGACATGTTTAGAGGAAGAGACCATAAATACCTAAGGATAAACGGTTTATAGTCATCCTACACATCTATTCGATTTTAAAGTGACTAAATAAGGAGAAAAAATTCTAATTATGCTTATCATTAAAAAAACGGAACATTACAATGTTCTTTAGAAACATTATATTACCATTAAATAACCATTAAAGCCACACATGTGCTTTTCTTAAAATAACAGTACACATGGCCAGTCACAAAAGACCATATATCATATGACCCCATTTATTTGCAGTGTCCACACAGGCAAATCTATAGCCAGAAATTAAGTTAGTGGTTACCCTGGGCTGGGAACTGGGAAGTTGGGGGAAATGGGTGGAGACTGATGGACACCAGGTTTCTTTCTGGGGTGATGAAATGCCCTAAGATGGACTGTGGTGATATTCAATCCTTGCACCTTTGCCTACACTGCAAACACTTCCTCTAAGGGAGCATTCATTTGAGCCAGCAATAAAATTTTATTTAGCAGCATCCTAACCACCAAAACATTTGAAGAAATTGTTTATTTCAAAAGAGGATTCAAGAAGGGAAAAAATGGGGATGACAAAACATATTTTGTAGAGCAGCTCCAATAGCTGGACTGCAGTTTTCGATGACATGGTACAAATGGGCATCAATGACGATCATTTTAAATTCTCCGGTAGACACGACTGTAACTTATCAAAGTAACTGTAGTCTTATTAAAGTGATTAAAACTAAATAAAGACTAAAAACATAGAGGTGAGGTATGTACAATCTAGAATCAAACCCTTCATATTCTAAATATAAGCATTTATGCTAAATAATCTTAATGAATATTTTTTGAAAGGAGTATCACTGGAAAGTATAAAATAAAACTTACTTGGTTCTAGCTTCTTCAGGTCCTCCAGTTTAAATTCTTCTTGCGACTGTGTGGACTGAATTTAAAATACACAAATTATATCTTTTTATTATAAAGATTTCACTACACCCAATGTCTTTTAAGCAGCGAGACCTAAATAGTCAAAAAGTAGCCAAAATAAATGATTCTATTTCTTGCTTTCAAAGTAGAAAATGAAAAGCCCCAAACTGATTTTTGCTTGTTGTTGTATTTTGGGAACATTCAGGCTAACAACAGAAAAAAATTAGAGTTGTATCTTTTATTTCTAGTTTATAAAGATGAGCTAAATCTTTTCATATGCGCTTAACTCGTGAACTCCGATTGTTATAGAACCCTTCTGAGACAACACTGCTTTTAGCAGGCAAGCCTACTGTTTCAATGGGATAGTACATAGTGATTTCTTTTCCTTAATTTTGGAGACCTAATAGTTGGTGGTTTCCTTATATCACAAAGAGGGGAAAAATCCATTTACCTGTAAAGCTGCACTTCGTAATTCCAAGCATGTTGCAATTTTGCCTATGGTTTTCTGTAGGAAAGAGAATAAGCTATAAATTCCAAATGGAACTTAGCTGTCAAAATCACTAATTTTTATTGATAAAGGATATATAATTTTTAAAACTAAGTTAAACATTGTTTCTTTTTAGCACCTTGCAGATTTTAAAGAAGAGAAACAGGAAGCAAAGGGCTAGGATGAGGCGAGAAGGTGACTATATATCCTCCCTGACCGAATGAGCCACGACCAATTTTAAACCACATCTACGTGACGACAGCTTTACGACAGATTTAAAGGGCATGAAAAGCCAGCCTCCAACATCTTCCCTCCCAAGCTCTGCCTTCTCCTCTTGTCCATAAAGCCTGAAAGTCACGAAAGCTTTAAAAGTAAAAATATCTGAAAGTTAGCATAATGATGTAATTTAATTTTCACTAAGTCCAATCGTGATGTATATAATTAAATACAGAGGCAACACTAAGCAAAATTAATACTTGTGATGATTGGTGGCAAATTCTACAGTCAGGTCTGTTTTATGGAATACGAGCTATGACGTGGATGTAAGTGACGGGGCACAGTCCTTGCCTCTAATAAGCTCAGGCTCCACTACGTAAGATACGACACGTAGAGAGTCCCTGCAGCATAAAGAGGCACTTGACTCTGTGAGAGTCAGCACCGTGAGCCACTGTGTTCCCAAGAAACAGGGCAAGACCACGCCCTGGGACTCAAGCTCCAGTGACTGGGAGGATTTTTAAAACTAAAAATTTTAGAAAATTGACATGGTTCATTTGTCCCAAACTGAAAACGGGTTTGAAACATGAAGTGTGTGTGTTGGGGACAGGGGGTCGCTCTGAAGGGACCTTCAGCGACTGGCTGAGGAATGTCATTACTTTAGCAGGAAATTACACAGAAGGGTTTTGAACTCAGACTGACTATCAGATTTGCCCTTTAAGAAGACTGCTGGGCCCAGCCACTGAGGCTCAGTGGTTAAGCATCGATCCAGGAGACTGAGGTTCGATTCCCGGTCAGGGCACATGCCCAGGTTGAGGGGTCGATCCCCAGTAGGAGGTGTGCAGGAGGCAGCCGGTCAATGACTCTCATCATTGATGTTTCTCTCTCTCTCTCCCTCTCACTTCCACTCTCTGAAATCCATAAAAACATATTAAAAGAAGACTGTTGTGACAACAGAATCCATAGGTTGAAGGAGAAAAGGTAAAAGACTAAAGGTAGAATCAATCGGGTTATTTCCACTCGCAAGGTAAATGGTAATAAACAACAACACGAATGACTAGGGTGGATATGAAAAGGAAGAGACCCACAGAAGAAATATCTGTGAGAGCAGGCAGCTGAACTATGCCCATCAAGAGTTTCAAGTCCTTCCAAAAAGGACATTTCTTAAGTTTTTATTAGAAATCAACCCAGGCCATAAAAGTGAAGTATCTTTGTACAGTATTTCCAGTGCCTTCACAATGAAGTATTCTGAAGACAAATGACTTGTTTTTCTATATGTATAGATGACTTAGTGAGCTGGACTTGGTGGCTTTCTCTTTTGTCGGTTTTCTTTGCTAGATAAATGAGGAGCAAAGAGAAGTAATAAGTATCATCCTGGCCCCAGCACTTAGGCTAGCGGGCATTACTGCAATTATTACATGGACAATAAAAAGCCAGGAGAGCAACTCACAAAATAAACCACTACTGAGCAAGATGTGACTCTTTGCTAAGGTACAATCTGTCTCCACAATCTAAAAATTCCTTTCAATCCCAATGTAAGAGTTTAGAAAATACCCAATTTTATTCTGAATATTTACATTTAAAGATTCCATTTAAAATACGTTAAGTGCAAAAGGATTCAAGACACTCAGATTTATTTACCCTCTCAAATAGCTGTTGCATAGGAATCAGTGAGTCTTTTCGAAATAAAATCTAATCATTATTATTTAAATATATCATTCAACTCTGATAAAACTAATAAATAATGTTAAACATAAATATAATAAATTAGTAACAGCAATGGCTAACAACCACAGAGTACTTACTATGACACAGGCTCTCCTATGTGATTCACAAACATTCATTCATTTAATTAATCCTCACTATAATTCTATCAGTTAGATACAATCATTTTATAGATGTGAAAATCAGAGAGGTTAAGTAACGCCCTAAACATAATTTTTTCCTAAACAAAAGCAATATAACAAAGCAATCCATTTATCTTAATACCGTTTGGCTATACTTTTAATGTTCTTTCGATAATGGTTTCTAAAAAGGATTGGATCTGTATTGAGACATATCAATGAGTAAGTCTTTAAAAATATTACTTAACTCCTTTCCCTTCTTTACTATAAAATCCATTCGATTTGATGCTTTGAATTTTAAGGTAAAACATAGTTTAACAACTACAAGTCCACTAATAACCTATTTTAAAATTAAACATTTTTCCAAGTTACGCAGAAGCAACAGCTTTCTAGCTGGAATCTACTGAGCTATGGCAAAATACCAATAGGCCTTATTCATAACTGTTTTAAGGGACCACACCCAACATCAGTATTAAAAAAGGAGTGAAACTATCGTTTTCAGATGTAGCAATGACTTTGAAAATATGTAGCGTTTATTGGTGTCAAAATCAAGTGTTTGCTACTGTAATTGTTTCCCCTTTCCTAGAAACAAATGGTTTACAAAAATGATCACGAACTGCAAGGTCACTTGTGCCTGAGTAAGTACTCACTATTAACTGATGTACTAAGCACTGAGGGGAAATGCAGCTTAATTTGAGAAAGATTTAAATTATCAGCACTTCATTCAAATTAACTGCTCATGCCTAACAGGATACAGAAATGAAAAATGTTCTCATTTTCAGAATATTGGCTATTTTACTTTATCATTGCTAGGGAAATCGATAACTCCAAAAAGAGCAGTTAAAGAAAAAGATGGAATGAAAATTAGACCATTAAAGAGCTAAATTAATTTTGCTAAAATGTATTCGGTTTAATACCTTTTAAAAGTACACATAGTTGAAGCAGTATAGTCTCATTCCAGACTTAATTTTTTAGACTTCAACAGCCATCTACTCTCTACCTGGGGGGAGGCAGGGATGGGAGGAAGTAGAAAGGGGATACCTATAAAATGTAAAACAAGCATCTAGTGCTGTTATTCTCATTACCATCAAATTTGATTCAAAACAAAGACTTTCTAAGCATCATGAGACATCATGTTCTATTCTGCCCAGAAACTTACATGAGAAAATCCACTACACCAAAGTAGGGAATTTAATGAAATGAAAGCTTTTGGCAGCTATTCTTTGGCTACTAAACCCAGCTGTTATTATGACAAAACTATTGAGAACTGGAAGCTAAATCAACTAATCATGAAGCAGAATTAAATAAGAATTATAAATGTTCTTACTTTCTACCAGAAATCTTTGAGAATATATGAATAGAAAATCCCTATGAATATTTTTATCGACAATTAGTAAAGTTTAGAGAGATCAGTAGTTCTGCTTGGGGGTCCTTTAGACATAAAATAAATACGGTGAAGATGTATATAAGTTATTTTCTCAAAAATTAGGATTTCTCTTATCTTAAAATAATAATGTATGAATAACTACCAGTAACCTAAGATGAGTAACAAGCATTCACTCATCAAATACTTTTGAAAGTTTATGTGAGCTAGGCAGCAAAAAGCTTCATAAAGAAAGTTTTAGAAATATGGTTGGTTTTTTAAAAATCTCCTTTCATAGTTCCACAAACTACTGAATGATTGCCATAATTCTCAAATGTCTCACAGCTACAAAGAACAGTGAAAAGAGTAAATGCATAGAAATATAATTCCTCTTTTGAGGAAAACACAACCGACTTTCTCGTACTTTGCCTCAAGTGCCAGATCTAGCATTCAATTAATTCTGCAGACCTAACAGTTGCTTTCAAAACTTCCCATAACGTGTCCTTCAGAACACCAGACCCAATGAAATGGTAGATAAATGGAGGATGGGAACTCCCAAAAGCAAACAAATTTAAGGACTATTTCGTTCCCCGACTCTTTAAAAATTCAACATACAAAAATTAATTAATTTAATTTTAAAAAATTCAACATACACGCGAGTATATTAAAAGCCCTGTCAAGTCANAGAAAAAAAATTCAACATACACGCGAGTATATTAAAAGCCCTGTCAAGTCATAAACTCTCTGTTCTAGTAATGTCTATTAATTTTTTAGAGCCAGTGTCCTCCAGGTTGTGTCTGGGAAACCTTTGTTTTCTAATCATTTAGCACCTTTTCCCTTATGTGACATTCAAATAAGGCCTATATGTCATTATGGGTTTTTTTGACATGTTGTGAATGATTCTCCTGTTTGTAAAGAAACTTGAATTTGTAAATGTACACAACGTGCCTTATATTAATAACCTGGTAGAGTGAGTTGGGTAGGAGGGTCCTTCTTCAGCCCAAGGAAGACACAGCCACAAATGCCTCCTAGGCAGGTATTATAAACAGTACCTCAGAAATCAGGCCCCAGGAAAGGAGGTACACAATACTCCAGGCGTAGAGGTCATCACAGGATTTAGGGATTGTAAGATCATTTAGGCTTACCTAATCCCTCATTTCTTTTTTTAATATACTTTTAAAAAATTCTTTTTTATTGAGGTGACATTGGTTAATAAAATTATATAGGTTTCAGGGGTACGGTTCTATAATACGTCATCTGTGCACTGTACTGTGTGTTCACCACCCAAGTCAAGTCTCCTCCCATCAGCATTAATTCCCCTTCACCCTCGCCTACTTCCCCCAGCCCCTTCCCCTCTGGTCATCACCATACCGTTGCCAGTCTATAAATGCCTTAGAAAGTTTTAAAACAGTAAGAAAAAGTTAACTTTTTCTCATTAGTCTAATAATTTTCACATGACAAAGATCACTTCTTGATGGCGTTTTTAAAAATTTTAAGTTTTTGGTCAAATCACTTTATATTTATGATCATATGCTCAGAGGTTTATACTCAAGCAACAGATGTTGGAGGTAAAATATATTAGTAACTCAAGGCAAATAAGTGATTAAAATATGGGGTCCATAAACTTCTAAAAAATTCCCGAAGCTTTCATTTTACTTCCATATTCATAACACACTTCATTAGCTATTAATTTACATACTTAGATATTTGAGATTCTGTTTCAAAATTTAGGTGTTTTAACTCTCAATACTGTGAAACCAGCTATCACTTCCTAATCAATCCCTAGATCGATTTCACAAATGTTACAGAGGTAATAAGGCATATAGCCTTTGCTCCTTTCCTTAAGCAAACCAATCATTTCCTCTATGGTAATTATTTTCTAGGGTGCAAGTCCTAAATATCCAAAATCAATTGTGGGTATAAGTAATTATTAAGGAAGAGAGAACAGTACACTTTTAAACTGTAGCAATGTATTTTTTCCTTTTTAACATAAAAAAGTACATTAGATAATATACACCCTAAATATTTAAAAAATGCAAATATACTAACTTGTGTAAGAAATATGGCTAACCCGAATCTTTGTTTTCTTGTTTTTTTCTTTCCAAACTCCTATAAATAACAGTCAAATGAACACAGGCCTAAGGACCAAAATAAATTTGTTTCAGCTTACTTTAAAAGTCTGCAAAAATCACTCCCACTCCTCGCACAAAAAAAGAATCAAAGCAAATTAAGTCACCATGGTTTTCACAATGTGTTTTCTTAAGAGATGAGGGAAAAACCAACATGCCTTTTTTTTCTTTATCTACAAGATTAAAATCTGATTTTACATTAGATCCTTTGAGCCAGGAAAAGATTGGAACTGCTCCTTCCCATTTCTTCTCACTCTTTAGAGTAAGGCTTCTTAAAGTATCCCATTTCCATTGTCTCTAATAGTACAGGAATCAATGTGACACATTAAAATCTTAATTCAAGGAGAAAGAGCACCATTGAAACATATTACAATCTTATGCATTTATTTTGCTGACAGAGCCTTATGCCAAATTCTTGAACTAATTTTTTCCAGTGGTGACTTTTTTTCGGGGTGTGTGTGTGTGTGTGTGTGTATGTGTGTTGTTTTGTCTTGAGAGGAGGTAGAGAAGAAATTAAGAAAGTTCAGGGTTAAAAATAAGAATTCAGGTGGGACGCAATTACTCATAATCAAATTCCAGTCTCTGGACTTGGCCCCCCATCAATGTGTGGATGGCATCCACTAAAGAAAACGTCTAAATGGCCAAGTAAAGAAATTCATGAAGTGAGAAATTCATTAAGTGGCAAATCATGTGGTATCTCTCCATGATCACAATGTTCGGCAAAACATAATCAGTATCATTCTTCATATTTTTGTTGTTTGTTTTTGCTTAATGGAATTGAGACTTGAGAGACTTTTCATTTAGAATTTGATATATCTGGCAATTATTTTATGGTACCTTTTGTTCTTCTGTGAATTCAGAATTATTGTGTTGAGCCTGGGCTTCTTTTTGTAGATGTCTTGCTAATCTGTAACAAGAAAAATATAAATTCTTTAGAATTGAGAGAAAGCAAACTATCTCAAGTGCAACAAGGTGAAACAATTTCAATCTTTTAAAAAACAGTGAGTACAATAATACTATGTTCTATTTTCAAAGTATGAATCTATATTATCTTTAGAATCAAACTCTTTATACAATGACTAAAAATGAGAAGTACTTTTCATACCATTTTGCTGGGACAAATTTCAGCTCTAGACAGTAAAAACATAACCTTAGAGCTGGAAAAGAATCTCAAATGGCATCTAACCCAACTTTCTTTAGTATGCATGAATCTCTTCTATAACAAGCAATAAGCAGTTGTCCAGATTCTGCTTAAACACTTCGAGTGAGCCAATAACAGTACCAACCAGAGACTCATCAGTCTATCATTAAGTTGCCGATAAGATTCATCCAAATTACAGCCATGACAAAGTGTTAATACTCAATCAAATTATACTTTTGAAAACATTTTTCATGTAAAAGAAAGAAAACTCCACCAATCAGCCATGAAAATCATTGTGTGCCCAGTCGTGATCAAAATTAAAACCAGCAGCTAGGCCGTGGGTGAGTTTTCAAGGATGGAGCTGTGTTTCTAGTACAACTCAACAGTAAGGATCCAAAGCAGTTTCTGGGACAGCAAAATCCAAAGGACCGGCTCTTACCAACTAGAGAATAAAAAGACACATGACTCAACTGATAAATGGGCAAAGGATGTGAATGGACATTTCTCCAAAGAAGATACAAAAATAGCCAATGAGCACGTGAATATCTTATCATTAGTCATTAGGGAAACACAAGTCAAAACCATAATGAGATACCATTCACACCCACTAGGATGGGTATACTTTTTAAAAAGGGAGGAAAATAACAGGTGTAGGCAAGGATGTGGCAAAACTGGAACCCTCACATACTGCTGGTAGGAATGGAAAGCGGTAGTCACTGTGGAAATCAGTTTGGCAGTTCTTTAAAAAGCTGAGCACAGAGTTACCATATAACCCAGCACCTTCAAAATCCTAGGTATATTCCCGAAGAAACTGAAAATATATACTCACACAGAAAACCTGTACACGAATGTTTACAGCATCAGCATTATGCATAACAGCCCCAACGTGGAAAACGCCCAAAATGCCCATCCACTGAATGGGTAAGTGAAAAGGAGTATATCCATTCAGTGGGCTATTACCTGGCCATAAAGAAGAACGAAGTAGTGACACATGCTACATGGATGCACAGCAAAAACATTATGCTAAATCAAAGAAGCCATAAACAAAGGTCACGTATTATATGATTCAATTTACATGAAATGTCCCCAAAAGACAAATCTTTAGAGACAGAATATAGATTAGCAGTGGCCTGGGGCTTGAATGGGAATATGAAGTGACTGCAGAGGGGCACAAGGGGTCTTTTTGGGGTGGTGGAGATGTTCTAAAATTTTTATTGTAGTGATGGTTACCCAGCTTGGTAAATTTACTAAAAATTCATTCAATTGCACATGTAAAATGGGTGAATTCATGGTATATAAATTATACCTCAATAAGGTTTTTAAAAACTTTTTTTAAAACCTAGGCCAAAAAAATAACTTTCTAAATCCATACATGATTATACCAAGTGAAGACAAAGTGAGATATGATTGTGTCCACAGTGGGAAAATCCACAGGCTTTGGCTACCAGACAAGCAGGTGCAAGAGTTGCCATTCTATTAGCAGAGCTGAGAAACCTATCAGATAGTCTTCTCTAGAGAACAAACACCCCTTACAATGCTTCCTACAGATGAAACAGGACTATTCTCAAGGGGGAGCTTTAGGTATACTTTAGACACATAAACAAATAGTCAACTGACAGCAACCCATGACAGAAATGAGTGCTTTTCAAACTATCTACAGTGAAGGACTAGTTCTTTCCCCCAATCTATTCCAGACTAACACTTTTATAAGTACAATAAAAATGATCATACAGATGTCAAATTGCTATACAGTTTCTAAACCTTAAATCTCAATTCCTTTGTTTATCTCGTCATAGACCAGTGACGGTCTTCAGATCAGCACTAATCTGTGGACCACGCTTTAGAGTAGCACATATATATAAAGCACAGTAAAGGTGATCAACAGCAGGTATTATTCAGTGTTCAAACCCACCCATTCACTTAACAAATATTTAGTGAACATCCACATGCTACATGAATACCTCAGGATTGATTCTGTGAAATATCTGATTCTGAGCAACAGACTCCATACCACTCTACCAAAGTTAGGGGTCATGTATCCCCAGGTTACTGAAAGAAATGGCCTGCTAAATGGAGTTGTTTTTAACCAACCATGTTCATTTTGGATAGAAATTTTATTTTTGCCATAAGTTGTTTAAATCTTCCAACAGGATTTTGGCATTAACTCTTTAATGTGCCCACAGCATACTACTGAATCCATCCATTCAAGAGAACACAATAATTATATAATCTCTAAATAAAGTTATTTAATGATAGCCTAGCACTAGTATACCTTGGATATCCTGTCCTCAAACAGCTTGCATTCAAGTGAGGAGACAATATACCAAATGGATATTTAAAATATATTGTATTTTAGATGGTGCTAAATACAATGGGGAAAAATTAAGCAAGATTGGTGGGGTAGACTGTGCAAGACTGAGTAGAGCGGGTAGAGCTGGCTTTGTGATTTTAAATAGGGTTGCCAAAGAGTGCCTCACTGAGAAGATATCTGAACAAAGATCTGAAGGAGGTGACCAAGTGACCCGAAAAGTGTTCCAGAAAAAAGTGCAAAAGCCGTAAACAAGAATGGGAAGCAGCAAGCAATGCAGTAGCACTTAGTCTTTTCATATTTCTGTAACAGCAATGCCCAATTAACTCTAAAATCCTCTGCTGAGACAGTCAGTGCTTTGACAGTGGAAATCAAATGTTATTGGTCTTTATACTCCTAGCTCTTAGTTGTTCAAGGATGAAATTGTTTAAGCTATAGGATCTTACATTATGATACTAAACACACTCACTCCTTCCCTCAAGTCCTCCTTCCCCTAAATCCGCTCCTGTATGTGGTGCGACCATACATCGCTGCCCACCCTGTGAGAAGTGCCAGTTATCCTAGACTCCCCCTCTTCCTTTATTCTCAATATCCGGTCAGGGACTATATCCTATCAATTCTTTTTTACATTACTTACTATTCCCCAAATAATCTTTTTTGGAGCTTTCCCCCTCCCCCAGGTAATTCAAACAAAACAATTTGCCTTTATTTCTGAATATGAGTTTTAAACAGCCTCATTTTATACGTAGCCTGTATGTTTACAAAATTTAAGCCAATCATTACATATTTCTATTCAGATCTGACACTGGCAGTTTTTAAAAAATCGGAGTACTACTCTGAATTATGAAGTTCAGACGTTAGCATGGAGGCCCAATGATAGATTGGAATGTGCCTATTACTCGGTTCTAGCTAAACAGCTTGCATACTCAATTTTCCTTTGTAATTTCAATTGGACATGCTATTCTTTACTTTCCATTGTGAGGTCTGCTGCTAATGCCAACAGCTGCTAAGTCCCACCACATCTCAAGAGAGAGGCAGCTTTATATTTCAGGATACGCAATTTTAGTTAACACAGAGAATGAGTACGCATAGGTGCTCGCTGTCTAGCCTGGTATAGTATGAAAGGACAGTTCTCTGGTAAAGAAGGAAATAGAATTTGTCCAGTTCACATACACAACACATCTTAAGTCAAGTGTCTTAAGCACTATGGAGTAGAGCAGACAGGATTTGGAATTTTTAAAAAATCTCAGATTTCAGTGGTATAGTTTTGTAATCTGCTTAACCTGAGCTTCTGCTTCCTCGTTTTGTAAAATGAGAATATGTACTATTCTCAGTAGCTGCAAGAGCAAGTGACATCAAGTGAAAGTACCAATCAAATGCTAGTAGTTGTTGCACAGGGCAAAATGGCCCAGGGCAGGGTTGTTTTCAGGGCCTTTTGAAACGACAGGCAATTCAAAGTCAGGAAGATGGGGCAGAGAACGTCTACACATTTAAATGATCTTAACGGTCAGATAAAAACGAGTAACTACTGTGGAGAAAGGACAGAGAACTTAGATCCTCCAATTAACAACCGCGTATTCTTCCCAGAAGACTCTGAGGGGGAAACGGTTTTACTCACACATGGTTTCATATTCCGTGAAGCCTCAAACAATAACTTGCTTGAAACCCAAGTAGTAATTAATGGCAACAGTTTGCAAACAATAGCGCTTTAGCAGCCGCTTATTTCCAGGAAAATGTGCAAGAACCTAAGGCGAGGTTTTATATGTCTGTAAACCTTGTCTTTTAATTTTAAAAAACATCCCTTAAGTTTTCTCGGGGAGGGAAACCAGAAAGAGAAAGAGCTCGGGCTTGGGCTGATCAGAGAAGCCGGTCCCCACGCGCAGCCGGCGGCTATACGTTACCCGCAGGAAGGGAGGAGGGGCCGGGGGGAGCGGCGCTCCCCTGCGCGGTCTATTAATTCACATTTTGCTCTCTTCTGTTCACATCCTGCGCGGACTCCACCCAAAGCAGCCGGGCGAGGGGGTGGGTGGGACCCACACTGCTTAGCAAATAACAGTCCCAGAAACCGAAACGGAACCGAGGTGAACTGGGAAAACACGGCTAGAGGGCTGGAGAAGGGGCGCGGGAGGGGG